TTGGTCAGCTAATGAAACTGAAAGAACTGTTTTATTAGCTAAACTGGAGGCTTTGTGAGGGGATGTATTTATTCAAAACAGATTTATCAAGCTACATTGGAACTCAGAAAATGTCTCGCTTCAGAATCAACTCAGCAGATATATTCTCAAAGGCTTAATGTAAGCCTCTCTCTTTTAGAGTGCTATAGATGGATTCAGGGGGGACTGGATATAATTCAAAACTATATATCATTTCAGAACTGTAAATCTCTTGTTAGCAGTAAATCCAATTATGAACTCATCAGAACTCAGACTATTTACAAAGAATGATTAATTATACAAGCCATGTGGAAGAAATAAGTAACTTCTGTGAAAGTCATCTCTCGTGAGCCAGCTGTGTGAATAACAGAGTTTCTTAACAAAACTTTCTTAACTTAACAAAAACTAACTTAACAAAACCAAAAACTAAAATCCTGTAAATGATTAACAGTGCAATCCTAAAGAGAGTTACTCCAGTCTAAGCCCAGAGGTCATTTCGGGGGGGAACGCGGGGGAACACAGTTCCCCCGGGTGAGGTGCAGGGGGGCGGGGCACATGACGAAGCCCCGCCCCCTGCTTCCGGTCGCCCCGCTTCCAGCCCTCATTCAGCCAGGAGGAGGCAGGAGAAGAGGGAGGGTAAGTTGCTTCCTCCCCGCCTCTCCCCACCCCTGCCTGCCTGGGGCCAGGGAGGGCCTTTGCGGGGCTTCCTCGCACTCCCACTGGCCTTGCAGGTCCACCGCCAGGCCCCTGATGCCAGGGTGTGTGGCATATGCTAATGAGTTATGCTAATGAGTTCCCCTAGCTCTTTTTCTACAAAATGACCCCTGTCTAAGCCCACTGCACTGAATGGGCTTAGACTGGAGTAACTGTCCTTAGGTTTGCACTGTAAGTGTGATGCATGATAATATGTATTTTTAGAATTGAATTTTTAATCGCACAGTGAATAGCTCTTGGATAGACAAAAATAGGTTTGCCATGCCAGCCCAGTGCCGGCAACTGGCAGAAGACTAGGGGAGCAGATACACGGCGAAACAGCATCATGTGATGCCACTTCTTGCTGCATAGCTGGAAGTTACATCGCCATGTCATGTGACACTCTTGGGTTTCCTCGATACTCTATGGTAAAAATCATAGAGGACTGGGAAATTCCTATAGTGTTGTGTGATGCAGTGATGTCACTTCTGGGTTCTTATCCAGAGGTGGTGTGGCATCAAACAATGCCTCCCCTCCCCCATTTTCCTCTGCTGCTCCATTGAGCAGCTGAAGGGGTCCCCCCACCAGTACCAATCATCTGGCAACCTTAGCCAAAACAATGAATGGGCTCTGTGCTGTTTTTCTGAAAATCCGTCTGCAGCTGTATGATAGTTGGAATTCCAGAGGGTTGCTGTGTTACGCAGTTGTAGTAAACGTATGCAGGAATCCAACAGTACCTTTTACAGACCAACAAAAAAATTTTCAGCATGATCTCTTTATTTGTTTGATTTTTTTTTTTTTTGCCACCTTTCCATCCAGTCAGGGCCCACAGGGTGGCAAATGTAAAAACACTAAAATGTTTAAACAATTACAATACGATGAAAAATATAAAATTCAATTAGAAACACCTAAACAACCCTCTAAGGAGGGCTAAAAATCATTTTTGGGGGTATGCCAGATGAAACAAAAAAGTCTTCACCTGCTAGCTAAAGATTTTGATAGAGGGAGACAGATGAATCTCCCCGGGTAGGGACTTCCAAAGATCTGGTGCCACAACAGGTTGCCACCTGGCTAGCCTAACCCAAAGCAGGGACTAGGGTTGCCAGCCTCCAGGTGGGACCTGGGGATCTCCCACTTTTACAACTGATCTCCAGCTGACAGAGATCAGCTCCCCTGGAGAGAATGGCTGTTTTGAAGGGTGGACTCTGTGGCATTGTCCTTTCCTGGATCCACCCCCAAAGTCTCTAGGTATTTTCCAGCCCAGACCTGGCAACCCTAGCAGGGCCTCTGAGGCTGACCAGAGTGAGTAGACAATACTGACCCTGACGGATCAAGGGCCTGGTTCAATGTAAGGCACTTTCCTTTTATTGCAGTTCAGCTGCAACAGGAGGAAAGAAATGCCCAACTACAAGCAGGAAGGCTGGGAGGCCTGGCCAACAGTCCATGGTTCAGTGCCTCCCAGGGTAACCTCTCCCTCCCCATTTTCACCCTGAGAGCATTAGGAGCAAAGAAAGAAGCAAAACTGTTGAAAAGAATTCTCTGGAGAAGAAGGGATGGGATAGATGTGGAGGAGTTCCGATTCAGGTCCTGAACTCCAAGGTCACCTAACCTAAACAGTTGCCCTAGCGACACATCTGGAGCATTCAGAAGGAAATTCGTGATCCTTTCCAGCTGTTGCAGTTGTGAGGGAAGGATGCCCAGATTGCAGCTGTCCTGAATCATAAAGCATAAGAGGGAATAAGGTGATTCCTACGGATACAATGCTTCTATATTTTGTAATGCAGTCATGCTCAGGGATGTGCAAACACATGCATTCTTAAGGAGCTGTGGTTCTCAGAGTGCCAGGCCAGGTATCCTTAAAAAGGCAAGACAGTTACCGGAGAAAGTATTTGTTCTTCTTTAATAGATTATTCATTATGTTTACTAAGGGTGGGGCGAGAAGCAAAGAAGAAGAAGAAGAAGTTATTGGATTTATACCCCGCCCTTCACTACCCAAAGTTGTCTCAGAGCGGCTTACAAACTCCTTTCCCTTCCCCTCCCCACAACAGGCACCCTGGGAGGTAGTTGGGGCTGAGAGAGCTCTTCACAGAAACTGCTCTTTTTCAAGAACAGCTCTTATCAGAACTATGGCTTGCCCAAGGTCATCCAGCCAGGTGCAAGTGGAGGAGTGGGGAATCAAACCTGGTTCTCCCAGATTAGAGTCCGTGCACTTAACCACTACACCAAACTGGCAAAGGGGTTCCAGGGACAAAGAGGTGAAGGTACATGTGAAGAAAACTTTGCTGACTACAATAGCAGCTCAACAGTGAGGCCAAGTGGGTATCTGTCTCAGATGTATTTTTTATGTGCAGAATGTACTGTCCTAAGGGAAAAGTTTGGTCTATGACTGTGAGGCTGTGGTGACCATTGTAGGAAACTATCGAAGGTTCGGCTGGTTGTTTTGAGCAGTTTGTACATTTCATCTTCCCCATATTTTGACTTGTCAGTTGAGAGCCTATTCCTCTAAATCTTGTATGACATATTCCTGCAAAGTCAAGAGGGACTCAAACTCTTCTGAAGAAGTGTGTCTGCACACGAAAGCTTATACCTTGAATTAAACTTTGTTGGTCTTAAAGGTATCACTGGACGCAAACTTTGTTCTGCCAGTTCAGACCAACATGGCTACCCAACTGAATCGAACTCTTTAGTAAACCTATGGACGGTTTAGGGAATTTGGGTTTATATTTTAGGGATTTTCCTTTCTCAGACTAGCAAGTGAAAAAGGCAAACTCTGTATTAGGGATTATTAAGAAAGGGATTGAGAATAAAATGGCCGATATTGTAATGCCCCTGTATAGATCTATGGTGCAGTCTCATTTGGAATACTGTACAGTTCTGGTCACTGTATCTCCAAAAGGAAACAGCAGAGCTGGAAAAAGTAAAGAGGAGGGCAACCAAGATGATTCGGGGGCTGGAGCACCTTCCCTATGAGGAAAGGCTGAAGAGTCTGGGACTTTTTAGTTCCGAAAAGAGATGACTAAGGGGGCAACATGATAGAGGTTTATAAAATTATGCATGGAGTGGAGAATGTTGACCAAAATAAATTTTTCTCCCTCTCCCAAAAGAGAGAACTTGAGGACATCCGATGAAGCTGATGGGCAGTAGGTTCAGGATGGACAAAAAGAAACACTACTTTATGCAGAGAGTGATTAAGATGTGGAATTTGCTGCCAGAGCATGTAGGATGCCACAGGCCACAGCTTTTAAAAAGGATTCGATAGATTCATGGAGGATGTCTATCAATGGTTACCAGTCATGGTGACTGATCGAAACCTCCACATTCCAAGGCACTAATTCTCTAAATCCCAGAGCCAGTCTTGGCCTTTAAGCCCTATTGTTGGCCATCCAGAGGAACTGGTTGGCCAATGTGTGAGACAGGATGCTGGACTAGATGGACCATTGGTCTGATCCAGAAGGGTACTTCTTATATTCTTAAGTTTTCTTCACCACCTTCTGCAGCTCAGCTACCATGCTTGGAAGGAGTACCCTTGTCTTAACAGACACATCCCCATCTCCATAATCAGTTTTAACTACCATTAAGATGGAGTGTGAGTTTTCTCCCAACTCAACAGTCTTCTACACATTAATTTTCAGCATTCTTTGATGCAGCCTTTTCCTTTCACCACTTAGAATGTTTGTGACTATTCTGTGACTGTGTCTTTCAGGTGGCAATATGTGTGCACATGTGTGTGTGACTGTTACAGAATAGTCACAAACATTCTGTTGTAAACATATCTGAAAATGTGAGGACTGAGACTGAGTTCCATTATGCTGCCTGGGTCATTCAAAAGCCTTCCTTTTCCATCTAAGATCAAGTTATGCTTTAGTTTACGAGAATTCAGGGTTCTCCACTGGAATCCAGTGTGCAGGTGGCATATTTAAAGTTCCAAGATTGTAGTGTACTTGCACTTGAATATTTGGCCGTTGAGTAGAAACAGACATGGGCTGACTCCAGCTCATTTCAGCCGCGTTCTCTTTTGTCAAGGACAAGGAGTAAGGCCAGCACAGCTGAAGCACCGAAGCCAGCTCCTAACTGTTTCCAAATAAAAATGCTTTGAGCATAAGTTTATTTTTCCTCATTTTCTTGAAGCACTAAATTTAGCCTCCTGGAGAAGCTCTTTTGGCACCGAGAAGATGGCAATAGTGACAAAACTGTGAACCCCATGGATAGCTCTGAAATTTCCTAACCCCCTCCCCCCAAAAAATAGAGAATGGGATTTGATTTCATTCATGGCTGTATTTTGTCCCCAGCTCAACGCTCTGCTCATGAACTTCCGATGGTGGAGAGACAAGATGTTGACAACTGCCTGGTATACGGTGGGCAACAGATGATTCTGACCGGCCAGAATTTTACTGCTGAGTCGAAAGTTGTCTTCACAGAAAAGACACCAGGTACGCCACTGCTTGCGTCATTTTTCTCTAATATTGCTTGTGAAAAAGGCTATGTCCTGTGGGAATGGATCTTACTAGCAGCTGTCCAAATGGGCTCAAGGTGAACCAGACATGAAAGGAAGGCTGCTTTTCCTATCAAGCCTATCGGGAGAAAGGCAATCTAGAGCTCCCTGTACTGGTGCCAGAGAACCAACTGGGGTGAACGAATGTTCTCCATTTCTCATTTCCCCTTATACCAATCAAGCTAGCTCCTGTCTGGATCAACTCAGTACACTGCTGGGTACTGCAAAGGTAGAATTTCCCCATCACCAAGAAGCAGGCAGGGAGACCGATGGAGAGTTTTGGAAGGTAGGACTCTCCCATAGAGTTATATCTACCAATGTTCAAATCCTACCCTGTACTATTCTGGCCCACAGTCCCCCTTGCCTCTTATTCTCCAATATGCTGCCAAAAAGTCATTCCTGTATATCAGTGATCCTCAACCTTTTTGAGCCAGCGGGCACCTTTGGAAATCTGACACAGTGTGATGGGACAGCTCTTTTCTAGAAGTCAAAAATTAAACTCAACTGCAAAATGGCTGTCGCAGGAGGTGGAGCCAGCCACAAAACGTCGGAAAGTGAAGTTATTGTTTACCCTGATTGTAGGTCTTCAGCATTTCAGGCAGGGAGAGTGAGGTTATTGTTTAGGTCTGATTGTAGGTCTTCAGCATTTCAGGCAGAAGCTCTGTTTAACAGGATGCTTTTTAAATTGAACATACTGTATACATATTGGGCTAGCTGAAAAACACTCATCTGTCAGTATCTGGCACATTTCCAGTGGCCAATCAGAAGCTCTCCTGTCCCTACCTGGCCCCACCCACTTTCTGAAAACACTTAGTGCTGGGAGCTGTGATGGGGACCTCTGCTGTAAATACTTTCTTATGCATTGATGGGGAACCCTGCTGTAAATACTTTCTTATGCTTCAACAAAAATAGTCCTGATTTTACCTATGTGCAACAATATCATTCCAATTAAGCTGAAAACTCTGGTATAACAAATACCCAAGGAACATTTGTCTGTGTCTGCTTCCACCCAGGGATTTTTCCAGGTAGCTAGCAAACCTGACAGCTACCACTGGTGTTCTCTCCCCTTTTGCCCAGCTTCGGGGTAGCAAATGCCAACCTGGGGAGCATGCCTCCGGGCGTCACGTCCGGCAAAGGAGCTGTCTGTTCCTAATCCTAGTGTAAATAATCATTCTTTTCTCCCATTCGGATCCACCCTTACTACTCTTTTCCCCTTGCCTTCATCACAGCCCGCCATGAATAGCAGTGATGTTGCTTTGATTTCTGACCTGAATCATACCTGACCTCAAGAAATAGCTCCAGCATAGACTCATTGTTTTCACTAGGTAACGCACAAGTTCAAACAATGGGTGATGACTAATAGAGGATACAGCACATTTACTTCACACACAATTAGAAAACATTTTAAGGCTGACCTCTGCAGCTCTTACTCATTGGGGGAGGGGGGCCTCGTTGTTAGTAAGAGCTGCCACCCACTACAGGATCTCTTGGGGACTGGCTGCAGTTCAGAGATATACACGGCCAGATACTTGAAGCATAACAGAGCTTTTAACCTTTTTTTAAAAATGTGGCAATGGCAGCTGCCCTACACCAGATAGGAAGCTGCATCTGAAGCTCAGACGCCTGTAAAGAGCAGCTTCCAGTGGCGAGTGGGAACCTGCTGAGACTAATGGAAACCACGTTTCACCTGTGCACAGGTGCCAATGTCCATTCACAGTGTGAAGCTGCCACTGGATAGGAACCCTGGACCTGGTGAACATATGAAGCTGCCTTATACTGAATCAGACCTTTGGTCCATCAAAGTCACTGTTGTCAGACTTGCCGCAGCTCTCCAAGGTCTCAGGGTGTGTGTATGGGGGGTCTTTCCCATCACTTACTACCTGACCCTTTCAACTGGAGATAGTGGGGATTGAACCTGGGACCTTCTGCATGCTAAGCAGAGGCTCTTCCATTGAGCCACAGAAAGGTGTCCTTGCCTTTGTGAATTAGGAAGTCCCTTTTTAGCATTTTTAAGGCAACCCTGCCAATGTTCAACAGATCTGCTAGCCCACAGAAAACAAGTTATGTAGCCTGACTGCTCATGTGTCTCTTTGAGTCACTTACGGCATATTGGGGGGGGGGGGATTGGCTCCCATTTTCTTTCTGTTTTATCACCCAAAAATTATTTTCACCTCAAAGGGCCATTCAAGTGATTGTTTTATTTATTTATTTGATTTATTTGATTTATTTGATTTTTATCCCGCCCTCCCGCCGAAGCGGCTCAGGGCGGCGTACAACAATAAAACAGTAAAACAGCTAATCTAAAGCAATCTATACAAAACATTAAAATCACAATTTACACTCAGTATAACCTACTCAGGATGGCGTTTAAAAGGATGTTAAATGGGGCTCACAAGACTGACCTGAAACCCATATCTGTCCTGCCCTGGCAGCCCTGTTTTGATCACTCATTGAAAGTCACAACATGATAACCTTGCACGGAGCAAAGGATACCTTCTTGGGCTTTTCTGCCCTGGGTTTTTGTTCAGCTTTGCTTCATAACTGCATCAGTTTCCCCTGCCATGCATAGAGTATCGTGTGCCTATCGTTGCTCTCCAGGGTTTTGGTTTTATGTTTTGGAGTTGTTGTGTTTTTTTGTTTTTTAGTTTACTTTACATTTTTTCAGACCACTGCAAAGGTGGTCTGAATCAGCACATGCTACTGTGTGTTCAGGAGGAAGAAAACTAATGCAGTTAAGAAGCTGAGCAAAATCCTGGTGTGGAGAAGCCCCTTGAATGAGATTCTCCCTATCAACAGGAATAGGGTTGCCAAGTCTATCTTCGCCAGGAGCGGGGGGCTCCCGGCCGGCGTCTTGTGCGGGAGGACACCAGGCACGGTCACTTTCGGGTGACGCGAACGTCGGGGTGGAGTTCCCCCCGGGGCCCGATCTGGCGGCGCCAGGGAACGGGCCTCTGGGGTGGGGGTTTCCCCGCCCCCTGGGGGGACTTGGGATCCCTAAACAGGAGAGGGACTTCTGAAGAATATATCCTGTCCTTTATGAAGTGTTATGTCTCTGGTGACTTTGGCTGGAATAACCCAGACTGCTCTGGTCTCATCAGATCTTGGAAGCTAAGCTGGGTCAGTGCTGGTTAGTACTTGGGTGGGAGTCCACCAAGGAAGTCCAGGGTTGCTACACAGAGGCAGGCAATGGCACACCACCTCTGCTTTTCTTTCACCTTGAAAAACCTAAAGAGTTGCCATGAACAGGCTTCAACTCGACAGCACCTTCCACCATGTCTTGGTGCACCATGAAGGCTAGAATGTGCTCCACAATGACCCCCTGCCCAATTAGAGCTGCCGAGAACCACTACGGTGCTCCAGACTAAGATTCCCTCTGGATACCCCCTTCAAACTGAGACCTGATCGTAGGAAACAAATCACATGACTGCCTTGACTCTGTGGGCCCCTAGAGGGATCAGACCCCTGGACCTTTGTCTCCTATCTGCCAGCAGTTCTACCCCTCCCTTACACTTTCACTGCAGTGATACATTGTGAGGTGTGATGACACTTTCTTTGCAAATGTGCTCCTTTTGCAACAGGGAGCGCCTTTGCGAAGAGAGTGTTTACGCCACTGTGCCATTATACGCGCTTGCTCATTTAAATGCATTCCAGTTCAGAGTTGTCTGCAGAAAGGCAAAGTCTCGCCTTGATGTAAAGGCAACCAGCATGCTCAGAAGCAGCTCGGAGAGGTAAGCGAAGCCACAATCAGCTCCTGTGGGTGGACAGTGCATCCTCCCTGGCGCTGTTAATTTCCTCTCTAAGACAGCAGAGGCTAAGCAAAACCCTGAATTTTTGTGAAAGAAAAAAAAAGGACCAAAGAAACACACCAAACCTCAAAACAAAACCCCACCCACCATACAGCAGCGTTTGGAGGGGAAAGCGTGCTTGCTTATCTTTCCATTGCAGTTTGATGACTCATGGGCCTGGTACCTCTGAGCTGTACTTTCACTTGCCGCAGAAGCAACCTGGCGGTGCGGCTCTGTCGATGCTATTGAAGGCCTGATTCCAAGTCCCACTTTTGCCATGGATGCACAGCAGGAACCTGGACAATCTGCTGCAGCTGCCATTCATCTCCCAAGGAAGTCATTGGTGGGGCTCCTGGTGGTGGAAAATGCCATCAAGTCACAGTTGACTGATGGTGACCCTGTAGGGTTTTCAAGGCAAGAGACGTTCAGGGGTAGTTTGCCATTTAGGGTTGCCAGGGCCCTACCTTCTGCTGGCAGGGGGGATGGAGCTTCACTTCCTGGATCTTCTGGTGTGCTGTGCAGTGACGCCACCCGGAAGTGATGTCATCACACTAGGCACGTCGCCATGGGGGCGCTCTGGCATTCATCCCAAAACTCGATGGTACCATAGAGGTTTTTTTTAGCTGAGTGCTAGAGCGTGTCCCCCCTGGCACATTGGCGTGATCCCAGCACTTTGGGGGCGAGGTTCCCCCGCCAGCTAGATGCAGGCCGGCAGATCGGGGCCCCTAAAGTGGGCAAACCCCTGCCCCCCTAGGGGAACGGCAAGCCTGTTGCCTGCTTCTTTTAGCAACCCTGGCATTCCTTGTTGGTCTCCCATCCAAGTACTAATCAGGCCTGACCCTACTTAGCTTCTGCGATGAGATTAGGCTAGCCTAGGCCATTAGAAGCTTTGAAGGCGCAAGTGTGTGCACCCATGCCTTCAAGCATGAAAACACCAGTTGAGACCTCTGTCGACTTGGCCGAGGGAGACTGATGTGCTGAGTTGCTTCTCAACTGCATCGGTGAAATACCGCTGCAGAAATCCCCAAGTGCCCACGGATTCCTCAGCTTCAGCTGGCCCCCAGACCTGAAAGTCATTCCTTAGCTTCAGCTGGCCCCCAGACCTGAAAGTCCTGTAAAGGCTTGATTGCCATATATCAGGCCTGTGACATGA